CTTCATTATGAAGTGTTGTACAAAATCTTATACAAAGAATGTTGGAGAAAGTGAGTCACAGTTTTTAAAATATAGAGAATGTTTCAAAAATCTATTCATTGCAAGGACTATATAGATAACTAAATAGGACTATACAGAAGGCCATAGAGGAACCATAAATTGCTGCTAAATGCATTCGTAAGAAATCATTTCCCAAGCATAATACTTTAATTTAAATACTGTTTAAGTTACCATTTTGGCCTTACAGCAAATCTTAACTTTGCTAAAACTAGGCAAACTAATAGGCAATCAAAACAATGGACACTATACTGTACAGGCTGTTACCAACACTGCAGTGTTATCCTATATCAATCATCTGTTAGTGCCCCTAAAAATAATTTGCAAGTGCCAACTTTCTGAAAGTTGATACCATCACCATGCTTTCCCCAACTTACATGACAGTGCTGAGGCCTGGTAACTGGCTACTTAGGACCCATGTACAAACGTATACTTCCAGAAATGTTGTTGCTTCAGTTATAGATAGGAGAGGCTGGAACTTAGGGAAGAAAACAGCAGACACCATATGGTACCTTCAATGCCCTTTACCCTCTGTGGCTTGCATAGAGTACACAATCATTTTCAAGCAAATTTGATCTAAAATGTGGGTGTCTTCTACTGATCCAAAGCCTAAGCACAAGGATCACATGAATATTTGGCTACCAAGAACTTTGTTGGTGTTTCACATGATTTGAGACTGCACAAAAACGTTTGCATTCAGTAAGGCCAGACCAGGCAAATATTACTGCTCCTATGCAGATATATAATAATAAATAATAAAACATTAACACACTAATATGCTTTTATTTTACATTTACTTGGCCTCATTCTTCAAATAACTTTTAAAGATTGCTAGCCTTATCAGCCTAAAAACCTACTAATATAATTTTAGGCTTAGCCAATAATCCTTAGTGATATATGTGCAAACTGCAGTAACTTATAGCATCTATTCATATTTTAGTTAATTGTAATACGATTGAGACCAAAGAAGGGTAAATTCGTATTGGGTATGTGTATCACTGCAGTATTCATTGCTGCATGCCTTGTTGGAAAGTGCAATTTATCATTTTATTGCTGGTAAGGTCTCCAGTACTTGCCATTTATTGCTGGGAAAAAAAAATACCAGTTTAACCTTATATCAGCATGAGAAGCAAGGTCTTTAATAATCCACAAAGGACATCTGAGAAATAACATCAGCACATAAATATAGCCACAAAACTGGGATTTCATAATTAATTCTCAACCTAAGCATTTTCAGACTCACAGAAACGTGACTACTGTGTAGGTATACATTTAAAAGGAAGGAAGCAATCTCTGTTAAAAAAAAAAAAAAAAAAAAAGAAAGAAGGATGAAAACTTCAAAACGTTTGACTCTGACATTAACAGGCTTGGACAAAAATTCAACCGAATTGTCTGTTTATTGATTTTACAGCGATCTCAAGCCTGACGTTCCCTGAGCTCCGATATTTAAATACATAGGCCCTCTCTAAGCACATCAGCAACGCTCACTCTCAAACATATTTCACATTTGGAATCCAAGGTAATAAAAGATACCTTCCCACAATATAGCATATCAATTCTGAGATAAGCTTGCTGCAATGCAAAGGAAAACACATTTTTGCTATTCTCAAAGCAGCGCCTTCAGTTCTGTGGTGTAATAAATCAACTCAGCGCACGTCAGTACATGTCAGATAAGTTCCAGGCTGGTGTTCAGTGGGTTTTGTTGAGGTAAACATATGGTGCAAAGTGTCCTTTTCAATTGTTTCAGTGCGAGGTGCAATATCTAAGCGTATTATTGCGGGCCTACACAAAAAAAAGGTGCTGCTATCAGTGTAGCATCTATTATACATCGCAATGGAGCTTGGATCTGTTCATATAAATGACCTCAAAGATGCGGAAGATCTAGTAGTGAGGATGATTGGATCCATTGTTAGAACCAGCAATCATGACTCATAAGTCAGAGCATGTACTAGTGCGGTGCTCTCCAAGGTGCTGAAAACACACACACACCATTACAGCAGCCCCTACTCTCCGTTAGTACCAGTACGCGTCAAATCATGTGCTTCAACGCGACTGTCCGTGGTGCTGAAATGGAACACACACTATGTACCTCATCGGTACTACTACACTCCAAATGATGCTACTCTGACTGATGCTAAAGCATGGTAAAGAAAAAAAAAAGCAGTAGTCCTATTTTCCTCATCACTACTACAAGCAGTCACATTATGTCCTAGTATCGTACTATTTAGTGCTGAAATGTGATAAATAACTCCTGCCCCATGTTCATTATTCATACTACAAGTGGCCAAATCATGTTACTATCCCTGATGCTGAGAGGTGATACATAATAGCAGTAGTCCAATTTTCCTCATCACTACTACAAGGAGTCGCATTATGTCCTAGCACCGTACTATTTAGTGCTGAAATGTGATAAATAACTCCTGTCCCATGTTCCTTATTCATAATACAAGCGGCCAAATCATGTTACTATCCCTGATGCTGAAAGGTGATACATAATAGCAGTAGTCTCATTTTCCTCATCACTACTACAAGTCACATTATGTCCTAGTATCGTACTATTTAGTGCTGAAATGTGATAAATAACTCCTGCCCCATGTTCCTTATTTATACTACAAGTGGCCAAATCATGTTACTATACCTGATGCTGAAAGGTGATACATAATAGCAGTAGTCCCATTTTCCTCATCACTACTACAACAAGTCACATTATGTCCTAGTATCGTACTATTTAGTGCTGAAATGTGATAAATAACTCCTTCCCCATGTTCCTTATTTATACTACAAGTGGCCAAATCATGTTACTATACCTGATGCTGAAAGGTGATACATAATAGCAGTAGTCCCATTTTTCTCATCAGTGCTATAAGGAGTCAAATGATGTCCTAGAACCGTTCTCTCTTTGGTGCCGAACTGTCATACATAATAACTACTGTCCTATATCCCATTCTGTCCCTATATCCCATCAGTACTACAAGCAGCCAGATCATATTACTTTCCTTGGTGCTGAAATAGGACAATACAGTAACAGCAGTCCCATATTTGTCGTCACTACAAAATGTCACTATGATGGAGATTTACTAAAACTAGTATATGCTGAATCTTGTGCAGCTTTGCATAGTAACCAACCAGCTTCTAAGTTTTATTGTCAACGCTTAATTGAACAAGCTGAAGTTCGAAGCTGATTGGCTACCATGCACAGCTGCTCCAGATTCTGTATGCACCAGTTTTAATAATTCTCCCCCATTATGTCCCAGCATCCTGCTATTATTGGTGCTGAACTGTCAAACGTAATAACTACTTCACCATGTCCCCCATCAGTACTAAACGCAGCCAAATCATATTACTTTCCTTGGTGCTGAAATAGGACAACACAGTGACAGCAGTCCCATATTTGTTATTACTACTACAAGGAGTCATATTATATCCTAGCACCATACTATGCTTGGTGCTGAACTGTCATGCATTATAACTACTGTCCTATGTTCCCTATTGGTACTGCATGCAGCCAAATCATGATACTTTCCTTAGTGCTGAAATAGGACAACACAATGACAGCAGTCCCATACTTGTCATCATTACTACAAGGAGTCTCATTATCTCCTAGCCGCGTACTATGCTTGGTGCTGAACTGTCATACACAATAAACTTTGTCCCATGTCCCCAACAGAACTGCATGCAGCCAAATCAAGTTACTTTCCTTAGTGCTACATAATGGTACACAATAACAGCAACAACATTATTCATCACAAGCACTACAATGCATCCGTTTAAATGCAGTATCGTAAACCTCATCACTATTACAACAGGTCAAATCAGGTAAAAATGTGGTCCTGTGTGTTGAAACATCCTAACTGCGGCCCTGCATTTCTCAGCAGTACTGGAAGACGTTACTACTATGTGGCTGTCCTTGGTGATAAAACATCTTGCATTCTAACTGTTGTCCCATATTTCTCACCAATAAAGAAAGGTATTTTATTCATGTACTAGTGGGGTACTGATCCTAGTCCCTAAACATCCTTCTTAAAATCTGCTGCCTATTATTCCTCACCAGTACCCCAAGGCGTTACTTAAGGTTCTACTGTAGCACTATCATTGGTGCTAAAACATCCTACTGCTGTTCCACATACCTTACCAGTACTGCAAGGCTTGAAACCAGGTACTAGTGTGGTACTATCCTTTGATGCTGAATAACCCTACTCAATAACTGCTGTCTCACATGCCTCACCAGTGCAGGAAGGCGTTCAATCAGGTGCTATTGTGTGGTGTCCTTGGTGCAGAAACATCCTACACAAAATCTGTCCCTCCACATTGCTCACCACTACTACAAGGTGTTAAATCAGGTACTAGTGTGGTACTGTACTTGGTGCTGAAACATTTGACACACTATCTGCTGCCCCCCATTCCTCACCAATACTACAAGGTGTTACATCAGGAACTATTGTGTAGTGTCATTGGTGCAGAAACATCCTACACTATCTTTCACTCCACATTGCTCACCACTACTGCAAGGTGTTAAATCAAGTACTAGTGTGGTACTGTCCTAGTCTTTAAACATCCTACACACTATCTGTCCCTCCACATTGCTCACCAATACTGCAAGTTGTTACATCAGGTACTATTGTGTAGTGTCCTTGGTACAGAAACAACCTACACACTATCTGTTCCTCCACATTCCTCACCACTACTACAAGGTATTAAATCAGGTACTATTGTGGTACTGCCCTTGGTGCTGAAACATTTTACACACTATCTGGTGCAAGGTGTTAAATCAGGTACTATTGTGTAGTGTTCTTGGTGCTGAAACATCCTACACACTATCTGCACCCCCTACATTTCTCACCAATACTGCAAGGTGTTAAATCAAGTATTAGTGGGGTACTGATCTTAGTACATAAACATCCTACTCATTATCTTATGTTCTGTCCCATATTCCTCATCATTACTGCAAGGTATTAAACCAGACACTAGTGTGGTTCTGATCCTTGTCCTTAAACATCCTACTCAATATCTGCTGCCCCATATTCCTCACCAGCAGGGGCGGACTGACTATTTGGAAACTCGGGCACTGCCTGAGGGCCCGGGGTCAGTAGGGGGCCCCATGAGATGCCCCTGGTACCTTTTTCATAGGCTTTTTTGAGTTTGGGCAAGGACACAGGGACCCCATGATCCCCTATTGCCCAGGGGCCCCATGAGTTGTCAGTCCGCCCCTGCTCACCAGCACTGCAAAGCATTAAACCAAGTGTTATTATGGCACAATTCTTTGGTGCTGAAACATTCTACTCAATACCTGCTGCTTCATATTCCTCACCAGTACTGGAAGGTATTAAATAAGGTATTATTGTGGTTTTGATTCTAGTCCTCAAACATCCTACTAAATAACTGCTTCCCCATACTATTCACCAGTACTGCAAGGTATTAAATAAGGTACTAGTGTGCTTCCGATCCTTGTCCTTAAACATTCTACTCAATAACTGCTTCCCCATACTATTCACCAGTACTGCAAGGTATTAAATAAGGTACTAGTGTGCTTCCGATCCTTGTCCTTAAACATTCTACTCAATAACTGCTTCCCCATACTATTCACCAGTACTGCAAGGTATTAAATAAGGTACTAGTGTGCTTCCGATCCTTGTCCTTAAACATTCTACTCAATAACTGCTTCCCCATACTCTTCACCGGTACTGCAAGGTATTAAATAAGGTACTAGTGTGCTTCCGATCCTTGTCCTTAAACATTCTACTCAATAACTGCTTCCCCATACTATTCACCAGTACTGCAAGGTATTAAATAAGGTACTAGTGTGCTTCCGATCCTTATCCTTAAACATTCTACTCAATAACTGCTTCCCCATACTCTTCACCAGTACTGCAATGTATTAAATTAGGAACTGTAGTGCTTCTGATCCTAGTCCTTAAACATCCTACTCAATAACGTCTGCCTCATATTCCTCACCAGTACAGGGAGGTATGAAATCAAGTACTATTGTGGTTCTGATCCTAGTCTTTAAGCATCCTACTCAATAACTGCTTCCCCATACTCCTCACCAGTACTGCAAGGTATTAAATTAGTAACTATTGTGGTTCTGATCCTAGTGTTTAGGCATCCTACTCAATAATTGTTGCCCCATATTCCTCACCAGTACTGCAAAGACGTTGAAGTAGGTACTGTTAAGGCACAATCCTTTGGTGCTGAAACATCCTACTCAATAAATACTGTCCCATATCCCTCGTCAATTCTGTAACACATCATTTTCAATATGGTCAGCCACAATCTGTCTCCTAAATGACCAGTCAATGTGTACTTCTACAATATGGCTAGATAACCAGATTTTAGAGCAGCTGCCTTTCAAGTGAATATGCATTGTCCTCTGGGGGATACTGTGACAAGCTTTGTTATAAGATGTTTTCCGACGATGCATGCACTCCTGGGTAGGCACTACTGGAATACTAAATTGAAGTGGCTATATTTAGGCAAAACTGAGAGCCTGAACACATGGGGGGATAATATTCAACTTGAATTTGATCTCCATGACAGTAATATTGCTCTGCTGGTGTTTACTACACGTGCCTGGTGCTGTTAATCAACAAGAGATCTGCACCTCCTTTTAACCTGGGAATTCTTCTAAACCTTGGCTAGGCTCTTAGCACATCACCAAAGCTAGACATTCTATATGATCATCTAGGGGGTAAATAACATAGCCTAGCATTTTGTGAATTTGAAACTGTCTATTGTGTGTTTCAAAAAGATCTATGTGTGTATATACGAACTGAAGGAGTCGCTAGCTCCTTGATTTTTGTACAAGCTATTCTTATACACAGTCTGCTCCTGCCACAGCATTTCACAGAATTGCCTTCCAGATATCAGCCCCGACCATTTGTGATACTTACTTTGACACTGCATTTATGCCTCCATTTGGAAGGGCAGTGATGCTGAATAATTTCAGAATGGGTTATTGATATCGACAAACTATTTGTCTTCAGTAAATATATTCAGATTCATTTTGGAAACCTATAGAGCAATCCATATTTCTTTCAGCGTGAAAAAAACACACAGCACAATCTTTTTTTTCTTTTTAATAAAATGTCATTTTATTTGCATTCAAAATTCCCTTAATAAAAAGGATCCCTTGTTTCAGTTGGATGGAGCAGCCTTCAGTTAAATCATATCAGTATTGCTAGGTGAGGGGGAGGCATTTTAAAAGTTAAAACCTACTTTCCCATATCCATAAGTTGCCAGTTTATTAACCATTTGCACACATAACATAGGCAAACGCTGCAATAACTGTGCCTTGGAGCCAGGGAGGGTCCCCATGACATCTCTAAGGCACAAAGGGGGTTATTTACTAAAACTGGAGAGTGCAAAATCTAGTGCAGCTCTGCATAGAAACCAATCAGCTTCCAGGATCTATTGTCAAAGCTTAATTGAACAAGCTGAAGTTAGAAGCTGATTGGCTACCATGCACAGCTGCCCCAGATTCTGAGTGCACCAGTTTGAGTAAATCTCCCCCAAAGTGTAGGTGTAACACATGACAGTAATGCTGTTCAGGGTTAAAGTTTAGATCGCTTGCCAAATGCTACTTGATGCTAATTAGAGCTTAAAACAATGATGGCATGCTATGTGAATTTAAATGTCTGTTGGTTATGATGCATACCCATTAAAAAAAGAACTAAAAAAAATGATGGCAGACTATCACAGATGTGAATTTAAATGTCTGTTTGCTATTTTGTATACCCATTAAAATCAAATGTCATAGATGTACATTTCCATGTCTGTTTGCTAGCAATGCATATTCATCAAAATAAAAGAATTTAAAAAAATGATGGCAGAAGCGTTTAGCCTGGAGTAGCATAGCCCTTCTTCCAGGAAGGGGTTAACCCTTCTGTAGTGATGAGCTGGAACACTGGAACCTTGGATCCGACACATCTGAAAGTTCCTGATTTCCAGTAGCAGCAGTAGCAGGAGCAGTAGCAGCACATGACAGTCACCTAGCGATCAGCACCTATCGATCATCCATAGGGGCTGCACAAGCCTGATCGCCAACAGCCCCTTGGGCACTCCAGGCACGACTGAAAAGCATGCAGCACGAGGGAAATCAGATCCGTTGCTTAACGCTGTCTGGCTGGCAGCCTTAAAAAAAAAAAAAGAGAGAGAGGAGCGATCTCAATTTCTCTCACTTAATCTTGGCTGCACGTCAGAAGCTGTGCAGCAGTGCAGCAGAAAGGGAAAGCAGCAAAGCACTTTTCCCCCTACTAAACCGCTTCTACACACAGACTTCGCCCCTCTGCTACTACAGCTCAGCGATTTCTTTTTTTTCCCTGGATTATCTATTGATTGCCTTTCCCTCCCCCCCCTCCTCCTTTCATCCCTTCCAGGCTCACCGGGATGGACATAGGCGTTTGGATTTCTCAAGGATTCTCCCCCCTCTGACTAACATGGATGTCCCACCATTCCTTGCAGTTGAAGGTTGCTCCTTGGCGCAGTGAATGAAGAACATGCAGGGATTGCTAATGGGTTTGGGAAGCGGATCCCTCCTCGCTGGTGTCTGTGTGACCATGCCGTGATTCGTGTCTGAGGGCCATCACCAGTCTGTGTCCTTTCCTTCCTCTCCTTCTTCTCCTTCTTCTTCTTCTTCCCCTGCCTGCCTGCCTGCCGACGCTCTGAGGCTGAAGGGAAACGTGCGGATGTACGCTGAAACCATGAAGAATATTTGCCTTTTTCTAACTCATCCGTTCTTCAGGTGCCACCTAACATTGGCCGCTTGCTTGTTTTGGATTGGCTATACTCAAGGGACAACGCACGTTTTGCGATTTGGTAAGATTTGCCTTTTTTTTTTTTTTTTTTTACTTGTCTCATGTCTGCTGCTAGGGATTTAAGGTGGGCTTATTGCAGCCAGGTCCCTGTGTTGGTAGCAAAACACACTCTCCTACATCTACTGTGTCTGCAGAAATGGATTATTGTCACTGCAGTCCGTTGGATGAAACAGCAGTGTGATAATGATGGATATATAATAGGAATGTGTCATTGTAGCTTTAGCACCATTCATTTAGCTCTGTGTCTTTTGTAACATGTTAGTCATCCTTTCCTGTATGTGTGTGGGTTTTTTTTTTTTTTTATTGTGTATTGAATGTCTGAAGGGGAGTTGCTAGTCAGCAGTCACATAAAAATGTCAACAATAGTATTTCTTTCACAGCCCCGCAAGCGTTTTGTTTGCCAGTATTTTGTTTATTGGGAGCAGGTTGCCTCCATAGACCTTTTTTTCTCTTTTATGATCTCTTATAATAAGTTGCAGTGGCATTCATCAAGACTTATGGGATGAGAATGTCACAACCCTGTAGTTGAAGAAAGAGGCACCTTGCTTGATCCTATACTTCAGCCCATAGTGAGCTGTTAATCATCATCAAGAAACAATCAGGGAGCTGTGTGTTAAAGTGGGTACACCTCTTAGTTAAGGGTTAAACCTTCAATCCTGCAAGCCAATCCATTTTCTTTAAAAGTCTGAGAAAACTTTATCCGAGTAGAACTAGGCAGAGCTATGCCATCAAACAGGTGCTGATGGAGAAAAAAAAAACCCACACATATGGGAAGGGCATCTTGTTAAAGCCAACGCTTAGCTTCCTTTTCAATGGTCTACATGTACACACTGGTTCTAATTATTCCTGGATTTTGAACTGAAGACCTGTCAGGTCCATATAAATGGAAAAGGGAGGTGTTTTTTAAGGTTGAGTGTATATTGCTTTATTGTTCATGGTCACTTAAGGATGGATAAGTGGCACCCATAATAGATGCTTATAAATTAAATGCCCATATCTTGGAGAAGACATAGATCTGCTATTAATGTAATGTTTTGTGTTTATAGTGGTCTTTTCCTTTTGACTCCATCTGGTTATAAGGTGATGCTTGAGGCACGTTGCTCATAGAAACTGTCTCTACGGAGGCTGGTTTCTTTGGAAGCACAGACACATGTCTGTAAAGCCCTTCATGAATAGCTCTGCACAGTGTGAACAGAACCAGTGTATCACAATAGAAGCAATGCACCGGTTAAATATGTTTTTGTAATGATGGCGTGACACAATGTCACTCATCCATTAAAGCAATCACTTGCTAGCTACAGCATGTGTGTCTACTCCTTCAACTTCCAACTACGGCTGTTTAACTGATTGGGAAACGTGGAAAAAAAAGCCATTGTCTCCTATAAATCATATGTAACATA